CTCTCTCTCTCTCTCTCTCTCTCTCTCTCTCTCTCTGTCTCTCTCTCAAACATGAACGCACATAGGCACGATAGAAAAAAGAAAGCATTTCAAATAAAGTAATATCTCCAGTGTGTTTGGTAGTGAGCATCAGTATGATACAAGGTTCCATCAGAGCAGGATCACACATGAGTTACTTTAATTCAGTGTAATGAAGCGTCGTACTTCATTCAGTCCTACCGTGTTGCTAATAGCCTGGAGTCTATTAGTTCCCCTATCTTCCCATTCTGATCATTAACCCCCTCTCATGCTGGCCATAACTGTAGAGCAGTTGCATCATGCGCTAATTTAATTCATAAAGCATGAATTAAATATGCAAATGGGTGTTGCGAGGGAAACACAAATGGCGGGGGTCTAACTACTTGCATTTGGAGGATGACGACAAAAAGATGAAAAAGAGCGTAATTGAAGCCAATTAGCATAAATCTCTAATTCTATATGCAATAGACAGAGCGCAACAATATCGGCCGTAATGCAAAGCGACGTGCCCATTGTGCAGTGGATTAAACAGCGAGCGACTCGCGATTCTGCATCTCGCCATACAAGTCAGAAGAAACAAAGCGGAGACGTTGGATGCATTTCCAGCCCATGTCTGAGCCGTAGCTGTGTGACTGAATCGAGCTGACACTGAAGTCGGATCTCCGAGCAGAGCGCACAGCAGCTCCCCTCTCTGTCCATGTCTCCGTCAGGGTGTTACAGAGACCAACGTCGCCCCCTCGCGTCTACCCGCTTTCTTTCTTTTTTTTTAATTCCTGAAGATGAAGAGGGAGCTTGAGAGCTGCTTATTTTATAGTTAGAAATAGCTGAAAAGCTATTTTTTTAGTATTTGTTTCGGTCATTTATGTCCACTGATACACTAAATTGCTTCTGAATACTTTCTTCACCACCGTGGACCTGTCATTATATATTATAGTACTGAAGCTTATTATTATTATTACTGGCACATCAATGTGTAATAGTCATTGTCTACTTTTAAAAGTGATCATGTGTTTTGTATGTAATCCTAACATCCAATGTCCTGGATCAGGAAAATAGATCAGTAAAAGTACAACCACCAGCCCTGAAATGTAGTGCAATAGAAATAATTAGTGCAATAAAATGGAAATACTCATTAAGTACTGTACTTGCGTTTCTTTCCATGACTCTCTATGTATATTGTTCCTTGAAATCTGCTTATCGTCACGATGTGATCAGGGCCGTAGCCAGGAATGTATACTTCCCCAGGTGCCATCCAACGCGCCCAACAAATACGTCACTAGACACTTGAATCTCATACATTTCCATTTTAGTTTTGGAGGAGAAATACTAATTATCTACATTTCCTTTTAATTTAACTTTACATTTTAAGATTGTGTTGCCTAAAAAAGGTTTAATTTAAAGATGTTAACCTTTGAGAAATCCGGAAGCCCACATCTTCTGTAACTGTAGAGTGTAAACTCGTCCTCGGGTCAATTAATAAAATCACAAAATGATCATACAAAATAAACACTAAATAACTTAGGTGTGCTCGGTGGTATACGGCCTTACCCAATATGACAATGTTTAATTGTTCTGTTTATGGACACAACCTCTGACACTAACTACCTGCTAGTGTCAGAGGTTGGACTGAGGCAACGATCGAGCCTGCTCACTATTAGCTGAACATGTTTGCTCGTTAATCTTAACATCTTTGTACTTGTTTTGGGGAAATTCTTTTCCTTTTTTTGCCGTGTACGTGTGTTGTTATAACGGCCCTGCACTCGCCCACAGAAGTCCTCAATCACTGTGGCTGATTAGACGTCTGCTCAGATCGATCTCAGGTGGAGCTATGCTTCGGAATTACGTCACAGAAATCTTTGTACTAACTGCATTTGTTCACCGCAGACATGTTGAGTTAATAGTAGGAAAAGCAGGTTTTACTAACAACATTAACAATGTTTCAGTGACAGGAAGCTAGCACTGTGACATACGGAGCAGCAAAATGAAGTTTAGTCACAGTTCATTGTATTACTTACAACTGTGCTTTTCCTACTGGGACATGTGGAAATGGCCTCTAGGAATAATAAAGGTGTAATATATCCCATGTAGCGTAAGGGGCATGTCAATCAACAACAGTCCCGAAAGGACATCCCATCAACCGAAATATGTGAAACATCTGTGTGGGAGTAGCATGGATGTGCAGGTCTTTCACTTGTTCTCAGTTATGTAAAAAAAGATGTGTCAACAGATCGTCACTGAAACAGACACTAATATTAGCAAATAACCAACCGTACGATCACATTATCAATTTATAGCTGAAACACACTTAAAGAGCCAGTATGTTGAATTTTGCGGGATTTGGTGGCAGAAATGAAATATCATATTCATAAATATAATCCCCTGAAACTAAGGATCTTTGTGTTTTTGTTAGCGTATGGCCTCCGTATTTACATCTTCACTGAGTCCGCTCCAATCTGCAACTAGCAGCACACCGGATAAGTGTATTTTCCTTGAAAAGGCCTTTACATAGTGCATTACTTTTCATGTTGCATCTATAGTATATATATAAGTCATGTTGACACAATAAATATAGTGTATATTCCGCTCATAAAGGTTTTGGTGAGCTGCCTTTCGGTTGTTTTGTCATGAGCAACATCAGCGGTCATTCTCCTTTAACTGTTTCCACATCTATAATTAAGTAGCTCCCAACTGACAAATGGGACATACATTTTGACAAATGATGTCATAACCTGCCTTGATGTGAGGGGCTAACAGACTAAGGCTGGGTCTGTAGGTAAAAGCTCAGAAGGCCATTAAAATTTCATAATATGAACAAAAAGGCAATTAAGATATCATTAAGAGGGTTAGCACCCAAAGGATAAACCTCGAGCCCATTACAGTGCCCTTCGATAGTCTTGTACCCAGCCGCTGCTTAAAACTCTACTTCAGAGACTGTGATATAACTGAGTTGTGGCCAATTGACAAACTAGTAAATGGGAGGTATAGGTCGTCTCAATATGTCAACAGGAGTCTGTGTTGTTTGGATTTAAGCACACAATCACTGCCCAGGAACATGAGTCCACGCCTGGTTTGAATGTACTCTGGTGATCAGTACAGAGAGAACAACCGTGTTAATGTCTGTGATGTTAGCTCATTGGCTCACTGAAGCCTCAGGGTCGTGAATGCTGGGAAACTGTAAAAGAGAACAGAATAGGTCAATAAACAAACCATGTAAATGTGGACACCGGAGTCAGTCCCTCTTATTGTTACAATAATCAAGGTTGAGGAGAAAAGTGATCCATACACAGCAAGTACTATCTGCTGTTAATAACTTCATTCAGCAAACGGCTGTAAAGTCAATTGTACAAATAGTGGGGATTCAGTTGTGCAATAAAAAGCACGATATATTCAACCTTTCACCTCAAATGGGTGTGATCAGCCTCATGCATACCATTTGGGCTTCTGTAATTGCTTCAGCCTAGAAAGTACAGTGGCCTGTGAGCCGGACGAGACCGTGTACAGAATGGATGGCTGTGCCCTCAGCCCAAAGTGACTGTGTGTGTGATCAGTGTCTGTCCCAGACAGCTGCAGGGTGACTCTCTGCCCTGATGGCCATTACTCAGTCTGATGGATAGCTGAGGGAGTGGTGGGGAGAAAAAGCAAGGGCTGGTAGGAAAGAAGGAGGGAGAGAACAGGCTCAAAGGAAGAAGTGGACAGTAGATAGGGCAGGATGAGCGAGAGAGCGTGAGGGAAGGCCGGTATGGATGGAGAAACAGGGGCCTCGGGAGGTTGAGGCGTTAAAGTGAGATGAGGGAGGTGGATAAAAAGGGTGTGGAGGGATGACAGCACTGCATGGCACTGATAAGAAATGGAAGAGGAAGAAGAGAAGAAGATGAAGCTGGTGCTACTTTAGTTAATTGGTTTATTTGTACAGAGAAAATCCATCACCATTTCTGTAAATACATCAGTAAGTGCCAGCAAGATCATTTTCAACTCTTGCATCTTGTCAGGATGCCAAAATAACATTATAAAGAAAACAGTCAATAATGAAAGCTGCTGTCATCTAAAGCAATGTATAGCACAAAGCTAGCATTCTACACGCCAGCATAACACAGTGCAGACTCAAACAAGTGCAAGCAATAGGGAACTATGTCAAGCATGATCTTTATGACAATTAGCTCATTATCAGAATAACATGTGACGGAATGAAGGAGGCAATACACATTAA